TTTTGCTTAGGAGTCCGTGTTACCCCCCCTTTGTTGCAAATAACTATTAACAAAGGCAGTATTATAAATGGATCTTATTTTAAGGACTTTTTAAAACGAATTATATGATGGAAATAGAACCGAGTTATTAGATATTTATTAAAAGTTATGATTAATTTTGTATATATGAAATATTAGTAGTTTATCGATAATAAAACTCCATGCAACATTTTTATCTTAAAATATCTATCAAAATTCTCTTACTTAGCATCATATGTGTCACAATAATACCTATTTGTCGTCTACGTGGCGCGACACTTGGCGAAAAAAATGAGATGTCAAGTGTCGTTGTCTTGTGGCCTGGTTGCAAGATCGACTTTATTTATTAGTGAAGTGATATGATGTGATTTGATATTAGATTGACAAAGAATGCATGAATTGATAAAATTGTCTCACAAAAAATATATTGTCATTGTAATTAACATTCACCAAAAGATTTCCTTTTTTCTTAAAAAAAAAATAAGAAAAACCAAAAGATTTACTTTGTAAAAACAACAAGTTTGTCATACCATTTAGGTCTAGGGGTGGTTATGAGCATGTGCAGGGTGGACGATCGCACAAAATTCCCTAAGTGAAACTACTATAAAAGGGCCCTAGTTTTTGAAATTTACTATACAAAGTAAAGAGAAAATTTGTTAATCAATAATCTATTCTTCAGTTTTATCCCAAAATTTATAATTTAGTAAAATATTTTTCCTTAAAGAAATGATTTTAGGGTTTAATTTAACAAAATTATACCGGGTCATTTTCAGTGTTAGCATTTGCAGCCCTGCCTCTATTTAGGTCTAGACTAGCTCTAGAGCAAATGGATCCAATAAGTTGAACAACTCAGTCCTTGTATTACAATCTCCATATTGTTTTAACATCCACGAGACCTGATTTAACATCCACGAGACCATGAGTCCACCAAATCAAAGGCAGACAATTAGTATATTAATAGTGTAAAAGTCAAATTGAAACATTGATACAAATACAAAAGATATATCACTACTAGAAAACAGCCAATCAACGACGGAAAAAATCCGTCGGAAAACCCTGAAATTCCGTCGGAAAGCAGCGTCGCATTACACTTTGTAGGAATTTCGCGATAATCCGTAGGAAATTCCGTCGGAATGGACCATTCCGACGGATTATGTTCTGTAGGAGCAAGTTTGACTTAATTGGGAAGTCCGTCGCTAGGTTCCGACAGAAAATTCCGTCGTAATAAGCCAAGCTTCCAACGGAAAATATACCTTTTCCGACGGAAAATTCCGTCGGAATCTACTACCTTCCGACGGAAATAATCTACTACCTTCCGACGGAAATTTCCGTTGGAAGCTTTAATAGAAAAAAAAAAAAAAAAACCCATCCACCACCCCCACCACCAACCCTAGCCTGAACCCACCCACCCACCTTACTTGAACCCACCCCCTAACCTGAACCCACAGCCCCTGAACCCTCAACCCTTGAACCCACCCCCCTTACTTGAACCCACAGCCCCTAACCCACAACTACCCACAATCCGTAGCCCACAACCCACCACCGAAACCACCACACACCACCACCACACCACCACCGACACCACCACACCACCACCGACACCACCACAAATGAACCCAAAAAACCGAAATTAACACAAAAAAAAACCCAAAAAAAGGAATCAACCCCAGAAAAACGAAAAGTCCCAAAAAACCCGAAAATTAACCCCAAAAATAGGAAAATTAACACAACATAACCAAAACATACCACACAAGAAATCAAAACCAGTAGATCTACTAATTAATCAGAATTTCATTAAAAAAAATTAGAAAAAATGATAATTAACCCACGAAATTAAATTATATACAATTGTTTAATAAATTATATAAACTAACATTACAATTACATACAAAATTAACTAGATCTACACTTGAGAAAGGTGGCTCGTGACGGTGGTTGAAGGCTTGGCTTGCAACGGTGGATGTTGGTTGTGGTTGTTGTTGTCGTTGACGGTATGTAGCCGTTGTTGGTTGATTGCCTTGACAAATGGGGGACGGAGTGATAGAAGAGGTGACAAAGAGAAGAAAACAAAAGAGGATAAGGGGAAAAAAATAGAAGAAAACGGAGAGGAAGAGAGGAGAGGAGAAAGAAAGAGAAGAGGAAAGAAGAGAGAAGAGAGAAAGAGAAGAAGAGAGAAAGAGAAATGAGGAAAGAGAGGCGGAGTGCAAAGGGGGTAGTTACGTTTAGGATATTTTTTTTTTTTTAAAATCGAAATTTCGTCGGAAATGGTAAAAATCCGTCGGAAATTTCCGACGGAATTAATTCTCTCGGAAATGTATATGTTCCGACGGATTTTTCCCCCTCGGAATTTACACCTTTCGACGGAATATTTCTGTCGAAAAATAATTTCCGAGGGAATATTCCGTCGGAAGCAGTAAATTCCGAGGGAAAAAAATCCGTCGGAATATTTCCGAGAGATTTTCCGTCGTAACTTACCTTTTTCGACGGAATTTTCTGACAGACCCAAATTCCATCGGAAAACTGAAATTTTCCGACGGAATTTATGTCCGTTGGAACAATTCCGTTGGAAAACGGCCTATTTCAAGTAGTGTATATTTCTTAACACTCTATATCGCCTTTAAGTAGGGGGTAGGTCATAATAGACCATTAGTCCACTACTATTACTCCGTACTTTGTTTAATTTTATATTTTTTCCTTCTATTTAATCTGATGTAATTAAGGCTGAGCAAAACTATTTGATAATCCGAAATTCTGATCCGTATCCGACCCGAAAATTTAGGATAACCGATCCGATATCCGATATCGAAAATTTCGATTTCGAATATCCGAATATAAAAAAAAGTCGGATATCGGATCGGATACCCGATCCAAAATCCGGAAAAACACTTTTTTTTTTTTTACCATTTTAAAATATTTTCATATTATAACCCTAGTTTTGCTCAGCCTATTATCCGCCTCTTTCTCCTCTGTTTTATGATTTTCTCCCTCCTCACTCATCTCAGATCTCCCGATCGCTCCTCAATACTCCTCTCAATCAATCCTCTTCTCCCTCCTCTAATAATAATTTAGGGTTTCGATTTCTTGAAGATCTTTGCACTCTCACTTCAATTTAGGGCGAATCTGGATTCGCACCTGCAAAATTGTTTCTTATGCAAGGGTGCTTGACATTATGTTTGATTGAAAATAAAGATGAATGTTATGACCGATGATTGTTTGAGTTGATTTAAGATTCTGGGTACTGGATTTTGGATATTTTGTGCTAAATTTTTGCGGATTCAGAGATGATTTTTGTTTTTTTTTATCTAAAGTTTTCGATTTTATTCTAGTTCTAATTTTGATTTTCGATTTTCGATTTTCGTTTTAATCCAAAATTACTTTAGCTCTCTAATTTGAGTAATTTATGATTTTCATCTTTAGATTTGTTTTCTAATTTTCAATTATATAAGATCTAAAATTTATGATTTTCATTTTAAAATTACTTTTGATTCTAAAGTTTCTGTTTGATGCGATTTGTTCTAATTTTGTGCACTGATGGTGTGGTTGTGGGTGTTTGGTGCGGTGGCTCTAATTTTATGCGTCGATGGTGGAAGGCTGTTTTTTTTGGAAAAACCAAGTTTGTTATCTGAAGAAACCAAGTTTTCTTCTTCATCACTTCAAGTTATGGGGCTTCAATCAGAGTCTGTTGATGAGTTTCTTTGGAATGGCCTGCTAAGAAAGTCCGAGACACTTTCATCAAATATTTTGAAGGAAAAAACCATACTTTCTGGAAATCAAGCCCTGTTGTTCTTGTTCATGATCCCACTTTGCTGATCTGCTCTTTGCTAATGGTGGTTTGTGTTCTTTCCGATTATTGACTACCACCGCCGCCGCCACCGGTTAAGGCTAAAGCTTGTTTTTTTTTTTTTTTTTTTTTACATATTTTAATTTCTGTTTTTTTTTTAATTATTAAAAAGGTCCACAAGACAATAACGTGTGGAAAAAAGGGTGAAAAAATCAATTTTGCCATTAAACAAACCCCATAATTAAAGAAGTCGGATATAGGATATCCGTCTTATCCGATCCGAAAATTTCGGATATCCGGATTTTCGGATCCGATATTTTCGTGTCGGATACGGATATCAAATATCCGGATTTTCGGATACGGATATCCGATCTGTGCTCAGACCTAGATGTAATTATCACAATTTATTTACTTTATTTTTTGAAATGGAAAGTTAAGATGTACCATTAAAAAAAAAAAAAAAAAAAAAAAAGGCCACTTCTAAAGGGGCGATGGTTAATTGTTTATGAACTTTGACAATAATTTTTCTGTGTGGCTAGCCACACTATGTGGCAGAGGTTACTTGTTCAGGGATTACTTATTCAAGGGTTACTTACTCAGTAATTACTTATTTAAAGGTTACTTACTCAGTGGATTAGCGCGATTTTTGTGTGAGAGTAACCCCTAATCGACTAAGTAACCCTGTATAAGTAACCCCTATAATTTTCCCATGACTAAACAAGTAACCCATGAATAAGTTTCTCCTACAAGTAATCCTTGACCAAACGAGTAACCTCTGCCACACTGTGTGGCCAGCCACATAAAAAATTGCGAAAACGGACTACATTCTTGTATTCCCTCCGTCCCATAATACTTGACACAGTTTACATTTTCATTCGTTCTAAAATAATTGACACGTTACTAAATATGGAATGGGACCCCTAATGAAAAAATATTTTTCTATACTCTCTTTGGGACCACAAACCCCAAAACCCAATTAAATCCTACATTTTTTCTCTCCTAACTACCCCTCATCTCTCCAACTTCTTTGTTTTCTTACAATATTCAAATACAAAAGAGAATCCTTTATATAATAAACAAATATTTTAAATAAACCCACTATTTTTCTTAAACTATATGTCGACCCCCAACGTCTTAAGTATTATGGGACAAAAGGAGTACTATGTATTTATTATTTATAAAATCAATACAGACATTAAATAAGACTCCATGGCCCAATGGATAAGGCGCTGGTCTACGAAACCAGAGATTCTGGGTTCGATCCCCAGTGGAGTCGACTATTTCATTATTTTTGTACCGCCATTATTTTTTCCCTTTTTCTTAAAAAAAAAAGGCAAAAAGTACTTTCTTCCCACCTATCCTAAAAATCTAGGACAGAAGTTCCACGACCTCAAACCGTCCACGTGTACTCCAACGAGTGGCTAATCAAATTCTTTCATATAAAAAGATAATCCACCAGAAAAAACAAAAAACAAATAAACTAAAAAAAAAAACCTCACAAAATTCTCAAATAATCTTCACCAATGGCAATTTCTCCCTCAAATTTGTTCTACCCACTTCAAAACACCACCAAATTCACCATTTCCAAAGCTTTTCACCATTTTCTCTCTCCTCCAAAGCTCATAATCCTCCATTCCTCTGCTTTTCCTTCCCCTGTTTTAGAAGAAGAGCCTTCCCCTGTTTTACCCCTTGTTGAATTTACCTATAATAATCCAAATTCTGATCTCCAACCTCTAAAATCAGATGAAAAGAACATAAATCAACTAATTAGAGAGCTGTTGAAGGATCCAAGGACTGAAAATCTGGGGTTGGAGTATTATGAGAAGGCGAAAGCGGGTTCGGAATTTCATCCACAAAAAGCAACCATCAAGGCTTTGTTAAGGTACTTAGTGAAGTCAAAGAAATGGGATTTGGTTTCAATGATGTGTAAAGATATTAAAAAGTGGGAAATTTTGCCTGATATTTTTTTTTGTGCTAGATTGGTTAGTTCTTGTATTAAAGCTAGGAAGTTTAAAGTTGCTGATTTGTTGTTAGAATGCTTTGAATTTGAACAAAAAGTTGCTTCTTTTGCTTATGATTCTGCTTTGAGAAGCTATAATAAGCTTCATTTGTATGGAATTACAATTGAATTGTTTGAAAAGATGAGATTAAAGGAGATTGTTTTGGATCCTGGAGGTTATGTTTTGGTTATGGAAGCTTATATGAAATTGGGGAATTTCAAGAAAGTTGTTGAGGTTTTTAGTGAATTGGGAGATATTAATAAGGTTGAAAATGTTGATAATTTGTCTAAGATTTACGGGGTTTTGATAGATGCATTGGGGAAATCAGGGGAGCCTTTGAAAGCTCTTGAGCAATTTGAGCTAATGGATGAGAAGGGGATTCCTGTGAATGCCTCAATTTACGCTTCGTTGATCGGTTCGTTGGCCGAAGATAAAGAGATTGGTGTGGTTGAGAGACTCGTTGAGGAAGCGGAATCGAATCGAATGTTGAAGGATCCAGCATTGTTTTTAAAGCTGGTGGTCATGTATGTTGAAGAAGGTTTGTTGGAGAAGACCTTAGGTGTTGTGAAGAAGATGAAGGCGGCCAATCTGAAGATTTCTGATTGTATTTTTTGTGCAATTGTTAATGGTTATGCCAAAAAAAGAGGGCTTAAAGAGGCAGCAAGAGTGTACCAAGAGCTTACTTTAGAAGGGTGTGAGCCGGGGCAAGTGACATATGCATCTATAATCAATGTTTACTTTCGTCTTGCGTTGTTTTACAAGGCTAAGATTGTGTTTAATGAGATGCAACAAAGGGGCTTCGACAAATGTGTGGTGGCTTACTCGACTATGATTGCGATGTATGGTAAGACGGGGCAATTGAGAGAGGCGATGACACTTCTAGCCAAGATGAAAGAGAGAGGGTGCGAGCCTAATGTATGGGTGTACAATACGCTTATTGACTTACATGGGAGGGCGAAAAATATGAGGCAAGTAGAGAAGTTATGGAAGGAGATGAAGAGGAGAAGGGTGAAACCTGATCGAGTGAGCTACACTAGCATTATAGGAGCTTACTCTAGGGCGCAAGAATATGAAACTTGCACTGTGTTCTATGATGAATATCGAACAAATGGTGGAGGGGTCGATCTAGCTTTGGCCGGGATGATGGTGGGTGTCTTCTCAAAGATCAATAGGATTGATGAATTGATTAAGCTATTGCAAGATTTGAAAGCCGAGGGAATTCAGTTAGATACTAGACTCTATAAATCCGCTTCAAATGCTTTGAGAGATGTTGGGTTAGAAATGCAAGTTAGATGGTTGGAAGAGACGTTTGGGAGGCCTTCCATGATTTTGAATAGTGGGAAAATCAGAAGGCCAGTTCCGTTTTAAGCATAAAGCATTCAAGAGCAAGCAGTGTAAGTAACAATATATTTTGTTGTACAGAATTTATGCAGCTGTATAATGTTAATGATCAATGCATATTATACGTAAATATCATGATGTGTAGAGCTGTTTGGTACATAATAAGCATTACCTGAATCACCGTTATGCATCAATGAGAGCTAGATTGAGTGGAGAAAACTTGACTTGATATTATTGCCTCTAGATCGTAGCCTTGTTTAGTGCTGTTATGCCTGATTTGGTCGGTGAAACTTTACATTGGTTGTTGGGAGATAACCACCATGGTTGGAACCTCTTGGCGTTTTTCTGATGGGAATCACCTAACAATCTGAATCTTTTCGAGCGAAGAAACTTTAAAGAAGGAGATGTACTTCTCCTGGGATACATTGGGTGTTTGCATAAGTAGATAAGCTTAAAGAAATATTGAAAGAATTTGGATAGCAGAATTCGAAAAATTGATCAATATTTTCCATCCAAGTTTCTAATTCAATTTGGACAGCATTTGAATAAAACTTGGATCAAGTAGATAAGCTCAAAGAAAATTGATAGAAAGCATAAAATCAAATCACCTACCATACAACACCAACTTGTCCAAGTACAATTCAATATCCAAAGGCCGTTTTCTAACCAAACTCTTTCCTCCAAAATCAAAAGGGAGTCCTATTGCAAATACAAACTACTCGTAATCATAATAAAAAGAAAACTTACAAGCATAAGAGAGGATATCTTGAACAATGACAGCACATGATCTTCCTTTACATCACCCCTGTAAAGCCACGTTCAGCTGCATTTTATCAGATTCCACCTTAGGATGATGACGCCGGAGTAATATGCAAGCTTCATTCCATATTCCAATACCTCTGAATCATATTCCATTCTACTTAGTTGCAAGCTTCTGACAGCAAATCTCTGCACTCTCAATCCCACTTTCTACTGTTTTCGCAACATCTGCACTAAGCATAATATTTCATTCTGTTTATTTCTTGTTAACCCACAAGAGAAATTGAAGATGTCACAAAGTAGTATATCCATAATGCATATACCCACTGACTGCAGATTAATCATCATCGTCATCACCATAATCATCATCAGCACCATAACAAAGAAAATCAACATCATTATCAAGAGGAAGCGGACTTAAAGGAGAAACAAGACTTTCCACATAATCGATCAACTTAAAAACCTCTGCACCAGCCTCCCTAACAAAAACATGTGAAGGCGGATTGCACCTTGGGTTAACAACCACAAGTCCATCAGCCACAGCTTGAATGCAAATAATACCACTGTATGTGAGCCCTAAAAATTGGGTTCCAAACAGGCAATGCAATTCTCATCATTCCACTGTAAGAATCTACATGAACATAAGTCGAATTCCCACCAACAGGCAATGCAATTTATTTGGCTTTTCTAAACAAAGGGTTCCAAAGATACATCATATCTTCTCCGCATTTCCCCTCCTTAATGTAAAGACATAAAAGACCATACCATGATCCAATAATGAAATAGTAACAACTCCCAAAAATGGCATTGTTGCCGAATTGTCGGTCCCATGGGGTTAAGTTTACACCCTCATTGATATCAGTGTAACTTGTAAAGTTGAGTGAGGCAATGGTATTATATTGTAGCATAGCAACGAGAAGAGGTATGGCGAATTCGGGGTCTGATCTGATATTAGAATATTCAATCTCTTGCAGACACATTTGAGAATTCCTAATAACGATTTCAGGGGCAGTAGAAACAGGATTTCATGGATTAAAACATCTGTTAACCCCATAAACGAGCTTGCTTCAAATTTGGGTTCTTTGACATCATTCATAGTAAAATTAATCAGGGTTTGTGTTCTTCTGTCAAAATACACAAAATCACAAAATTCAACTTTTAAAAAACAACAATTTCCCGCTATAATTTCACGCCAAATTTATACTACAGTTCCAAAAGGGAAATTAAAACAACAGAATCATGTAATTTAAAGACTGTTGAAGCAAGATCTGAAATTCAACAATTAAGAAGTCTTTCAGTACTAAATACTAATTGCTAAGAAGTTGGGGATGAATTTACCTTAAAAAGTTCAGAATTTATGGCAAAGTGGAAAGGAGAAGCCGAAATGATGAAAGAAAGAAGATTGACTGCATCAAAGCGGCAGAGAAAGCGGTTGCCAGAGAGTGAGCGACAGCAGATCCAAAATGTCATTACGAGAAACAAAAGTGTTTCTCATAACGAGGAACTGGGGCTCCCTCCAGCAGATCACTGCTCCCTTCGTTCCACTATAATGTTCTAATTAGGAAAATAAGAAAACCACTGAAACAACCCATTTCCTCTCTCTTTCCCGGCTTCTCTCCTCCACAACCACCACCGCGAAACCCGAAAACTAAACTCAGATGGAAAAGCTTCCTAATCACCTAATCTCCATGATAATCCTCTCAAGACTCCCGTCAAAACTCTTATTATGTGCAAATGTGTCTCGAAGCAGTGGTTTTCTTTAATCTCATCTTCCCACTTCGCCGAAACCCAACTTCAGCGCTCTTCTCATCTCTCTTCAAACTCCATTCTTAATCTTAGTTATGAAGGTACATTTGAATCTATTAATTACGATGCTTTTTACAAGAATCTTGATAATTTCAGTCGTAAATTTGATTGCTTCTTGTAATGGTTTAGTACTCTTGATGATGAATTTGATTACATCGTTTATAACCCATGTCTTGGTGTTCGTGCTAATGTTGTGAGGATCCAAAATGATCAAAGACAATGGAAAACACCGCGAAAACTTGTCTCTTCAAGAATGTTGGTATAATTGTATAGGAGTTTTGGTGAATGAAACTTTGCATTGGGTTTTTAGTTACTCTCGGGAAATACATTGGTGCATTCGAATTGGCTAATGATACGGACGATGCGTTTAAATTGATGGATTTGCCGCCAAAAACGTGATTAAGTTGTGCAACATGGATGATTGCTTGTGTGCTTGGGAGAATATGGTGGACACTTGATTAAAATGTGGGTGTTGAAATTGAATTTGGGAGAATATTCCAACGAACAGAGTCCGGGAAGGTTATGATTGTCGTCGAGAATCATCTTGTGCTGGTTCACATGAGAAGTTGTGAGAGGTTGAGTCAAGTGGTGAATTATGTTCAAAGTCTTATACGACCCAACATTGAGCCTAGACAAGAGGTGTGACAGCTTAGGGTATGAAATTTAGAGAAGTCTCGAGGATAAGTTGTGTGCAACTACTCTTAAATAGACCTGGTTCACATTAATTTATCGTGGACCACTAATACTAGAGATATCATACTCGTTTTATTAATTGAAAAAAAAAGTCCCTATCTTAAAATAAAGGTTATTATATTAAAATAAAAGTGATTGTATTTTTATAAAAGTCATAAGAGGTTAATTTTTTTTTTTGAAAATTTTAATTTACTGGTCAATATAAATGATATAGGTCACTAGGATAAAATTAGGGTCACTATGTTCAACATAACGTCATACTTCAGGTTTGCATAATACTAAAAATTACACAAGATTTATTAAACGTTACTATGTTAAAATTACGGTCACTATATTTAATATTAGGGACACTATGTTCAATATGAGGTCAGTTGTGCATGTATAAACCTCGGATCCATAATAATATTATTGTGAACTAGGTCCACACGGATTTTTTCAGGTTATAGATTTGCTTTCTTTCTAAACATGTCATAAATCAAGTTTATTCAATTTAAGCTAAACTCGGTCAAACTAGATACAAATCTTTATTTGACGGGAAACCTAGATAGAAATCTAGAATGACCATTATTTTTCTATTTTTTTTTGAACAAATGACCATTAATTGTGATTAACTAATTACTGAAATTTGGTTTAAATTGCTAAAACTTACTTCAATATGCTCCTAATTCGAAAATGAAATTCCATAGAGCTATTAATGTGCAAGTAAAAAAATGCTCCCTACTTTTAATGTGAGAATATAATTCATAACTCGATAATTTATTAAAGGCAAATTGAATTTTGAGTAATATAATTTTTTATTAGAGTGTGTATTTTTTTTTTTTTTGGTGAAAGGAGTTTGTTGTGAAATTTACGACAATTAACACTAGAAGTCCAGCATGCTACTTTGAAGTTTGACCGAAATTTTTGCAATGGGGCAAAAAAAAAAGAAAAAAAAATAAGGGAGTAGCAATTAGCAATCATTAATAAGAGCAACAATAATTAAAAGGTAGGTTGGTCAGTTCAGATATCTGATCCGATCCAAATTTAGGATATCAAAAAATTTCGGATCGGGAAAATTACAATCCGAATCCGATCCGAAAAAATTGAATATCCGATTTTTGGATATTGAAATTTCGGATCGGATCACCAGATATCCAATCCGTATACTAATATTGAAATTTTGGTATTTCTTTTGGTGAAATGCCCTTAATTTGAGTTGTTTAAAATCTTATACTTAATGAACTTTCGTAATAATTATAAAAAAAATTTAAATAAATGCAACAAATTCAAGCAAAATGATGTAATAAGGTTCACTTGATTTTTGCTTATCTACAAATTATTTTATTGTAGAGAAGACCAAAGCAGTAAATATCTAGATTCCTCCCATACAAGTTCCTCTAGTCACAAACTATCCTATTGCCATTTCCCTCAAAATCTTATTCACAATTTTTTATAACCATGATGTTAAGCAACAAAGAACTACAATGATCAAAAACTCAACAAGGATGATCATCAACAACAAAAACAAATCCGAGTTTTTGGCTAGAAAAACACAAATCAATACTTCCTCCGTTCTATTAATATTGCAATAATGGACTTTTTGTACTATTCATCACTCATGTTTGACCATATAATATAATTTATACGTTAAACAAAATATAGTCATGTGGGATCTTATTGGATTCGTCTTATAAATACTTTCACAATATCAATTTTTTATAATTTTTACTCTTACAAAATTATAGATATTTAGCATATAAAATGTGCTTTGGGATGTGAAATTTCATCCTTGTTGCAATATTAATAGAACGGAGGAAGTATTTATAAGCATCTTTCCGGATGTTCAATTATGGATACAAAGTGTTTCGGTTAGAAAACAATGGACCTTCAGCAGGCCCTTTCGTATGAGTGGAGACGAGGCCCAACCCGAGAGATGTCCGGATTGAGGATTTCCTGCACAGCAAAATACACGTAAACTGGCC